TTTTTAAGCAGGATCCCTTTTTTATTGCTAAAATTTCCCTATTACTTTTCTTCCGTGTTTTTTAAATTAATAAAAGGGATGTGTCAGATTGTTCTGTCTTCTTTTATTTGAAGAGGATTTCAGTAAAATGAAGAGGTGCTTGCAGTGTTGCAGGAAGGGACAGAAAGACCTAGTTACTTGACACATGTGAAAATACAGCAAGAGGTTAGCCACATTTCATATGCTTTTTGCTTGGAACAAATCAAAGTTTTCCAAAAGATTATGTGTAAAGCTTCCAAATCCTGTGGCAGAAAGGCTTGGAATGGAATCGCTGTGCTTGTGCTAAACTTCATGTAGTGACGCCTGGCGTTCCCTCTGCTTGAGCCCTCTGCTTTGAGCTTTGGTTTCCCTGGTAAGAATCACAAAATTCACATACATATTTACTTGTTGATGCCTAAATGAAAAGCGTATGCAGTGGTGGTTTTATTTGTAATTTAGGTTCTTGTCTTTTCGGTGTATCTTGAGCTAGAAGGGTCTGCCATCTTTCAGATGTGCTCATCCCAGGACCTCGGCACCCAGAATGCGGTGCTACTTCTCAAGCTCTAGTTAATGCCAAATAATTTAAAGCAAAAACAATGAAAAGGGAGAATCTCTTGCTGGATTTAGTCTTTGAACAGTGCTGCCAGAACTCAGACGTTTTGTCTGAGCTGGCTTTATGAATCGGCTTCTCGGTGGGGAAGCAGATGTGATCAAGTGCAAGTGACGTTTGTGTTTGGGTCCCTCGTACCTCCCCGGGGACTTCAGAGCTGCATAACTTGTGAGATTCAAGATGTATTTCCCCACCAGCACCCTGATTGGAGATCTGCATGGAAATGTGTGTGAAATCTCTGTAGAGGCAGTGTGCTTCAGAATAAGCTGTGAATATTTCATTCTCTGGTGCTTAAGGTACAGAACGGATGTTCTGCAGTTGTCAGTTGCTCTGTGGAGAGAAATGAGTTACAAGAACCGTTTCACTTGAATCCCCCTTCGGGTAGGTGAGCCCTGTTGATACATCTGTGTTGTAGGACGAGCCGTAAAAACATTGTGATGTTTCTTGGCTTTTGTGGACGGAGAGGAAGTGAGAGTCTCGCAAATAAACAAAGACTGTTCTGCCTCTGAGCTTGTCAGGCTTTTGAGCTGAACAAATAAGGGCTGTTTTGCATGAAAAGGAGCAGATGTGCTGCACGAGGACACGCTTCTCTCGGCTGGGAAGAAGATGGACTTGAGCTGGCCTTGGTAAACGAAATGAATTCAGGTTGTATGGCCTTACCCCGGCTCCTCAGGATGTCACGGTACCCGTGCTGAATTATTCATCCACTACGTTTACGAGGAGCGCTTGGTTTGTGTGTGAAATCCCTAAAAAGCAAAGAAATGTGTTGCTGAAGGTGGTAGCTGCCTTACGGTCTTCTCTGCTGCCGTGGCTGAATTTAGCAGCAGGATCTGTACGTGGTGCGTGTGAATTCTGAAGCTGCTGTGCCGCGTCGTGGTTGTTGGCGTCGTGTCTTCCAGAATACACAAACATCCGACTGAGCGGCTCGAAGGATGCTGCCTCGTTATGCCAACGTGTGAACGCCGTGTGACCTCGGAACGGGGAGAGCGCTGTCCATGGAGCAAAATGAGGAAATGTAGTAAAAAGAGGAACAATTTTACGATTGCTTCCTATTCCAAATATAGCACCGAAAAAGCAGCAATAACGCCAGGGCTTTAAGCAGCCCAGGAGCGGGACCTGCTGGAGCCAAGCTCTCGCTCTGGATCCTTTTCTAGAGGAGCGCGGGGCCGGAGGGGGCCCGGGGGGCGGGGCTTCCACCAGAGGGGGCGTGGCTACAGCGAGGTGGGCGTGGTTATAGCGAAGTGGGCGTGGTCACGGAGTGATGGGCGTGGCTCCCCACGAGTTAGGCGTGGCCTCCCTCCGGCCCCGCCCCCCACCCCACCTCCTCGCCCAATCAGGCGCGGGTCACGTGTCGCGGGGCGTGGCGCCTCTCCCGCCACCTCCCGTTTCCTGCGGGTCACGTGGCAGAGGCCGGCGTTGCCTTGGCAGCGCGGCGGCGGCGGCGGCGGCTCCGCTCCCGGGGCTCCGCGGTGAGCTGGGGGGGGGGGAGGCAGGGGCTGGGGGGGCCCCAATTCTCACCGGGGGGGGTCCCGGGTCCGGGGGGGACTCCGCAGCCCCGGGCGGTGCCGGCCTGAGGGGTGGGGGTGCCGCGGGTGCGAGGCGTTGCCGCGATGGTGGGGCAGGGGCACTGGGGTGGGCACGGGGTGGGCACGGTGTCTGCCCCCCCGGGCGGGGAATCTGGGGTGGGAGCCCCATAGCTCGCCCCCCCTGCTGCAGCTGACCCAGGCAGGAGCGCGGTATTGCCCCAAAAACTCGCCTCCCGTGCAGATAACTGGGACAGGAGCATGATATATCCGTGATAATCCCCCCCCCCGTCTAGCTAACTGAGGCAGGAGTGCGATATTTCCCTGATAACTCTCCCCCCGTCTGGCTAACAGAGCCAGGAGCACGATATTTCCCCGGTAATCCTCCCCCTGTCCAGTTAACTGAGGCAGGAGCATGCTATATCCCCGATAACTCTCCCCCCGTCCAGCTCACCAAGGCAGAGGTGTGCTATATCCCCAATAACTCTCCCCCCATGCAGATAACCGGCTGGGCAGTGCCCCCAGAATAAAACCCCACAGAGGTGCAGGAGCTGTGCCTGGAGCTGTGCCTGGAGCTGCTCTCCTTGGGTCTCGCCCCCCGGCCCCTCCATGCCCGCGGGCAGCAAGGTGAGAGCAGCCCCCACGCTGCCCCCGTGGGCTGTGCTGGCGCCGGGGGGTTTTGTTCCCCAGTTGGTTGTTTATTTGGGAGCAGCTCTCGAGTCAAAATTCAGCCTCGTTGGTATTTCCAGTTTGTTTTTCTAAGGGGAGGCGCGGATGCGATTGGGTGCTCGCGCTCTCCCTCTGTAACCTCTGGATTTTTTTTTTTTCTTTTTAATGGAATTTGTCCCGGGTTGGAGTTCCCAGCATACCAAATTCCTGTGCATTTCGTGGAAAATCGGCATCAGGGTAGAGGCCGTCAGCGTCCCAGCTGGAGGCAAAGCCAGCAGCCTCTCCCCACGCTATACGTTGCAGAATTCACACAGGATGTCATCACAGGAAACAGCTTCATACTTCTGCTGCTCGCAGGATGTTTCTGCTCGTCCCGGGGGGCCGGGGGAGAGGGGGTTTTCTGCCATAAGTAGGTGATTCTGGAAAGGGCCAGGCAGGGAGGTTTTCTCTCTGTTTGTGTGTTCTGTGAGTTCCTTTGCTTTTTTTCTTTGCTATCATTTGAAAGCTCTTTGCTCCTGAGCTTTTCAAGAGCCATCCAGGACTACTCCAGGGCTGTAATTCTGGCCTTGTCGAAAAGAGCAGTCTCATGCTCTTGCTGCCGTCCTTACGGTGTCTGAGGAGCTGAAATCTGAAGGTTCACAGAAATAAAACTCCCCAGGGGCATGGGCAATCCTACATCTTGCACTGCTGCAGCCTGATCTTGGTTACGGTGCCTGGGACAGCTTTGTTCCTTTCCAGTCGTGCCACTGGGAGCTGTGGGCTGTTGGTGCCCTCTTATCTGTGCTGCTTCCTCAAATCTCGCAGCAAACACTGATTCATTAGCTGTCTCCATATGGCCCTGGTTTGCCGAGAGCTGGGTGGAGCAGGGGGGATGCGGGCAGGGCGGGGGCTCCTCTCAGGCACTCAGCAAGGTGCTTGTGACCTAGAGGTGTGGTGCTGGGGCTAATCAGTGCCACGCCGGGTGTGATTCTGGGCTCCCACCTCCTCCTTCCAGGAGCTGTATTTAGAGCCAGCAGGGTCTCGTGTGCCACCGTGGTCACGGCAGACCCCAGGGTATGAGGATTAATCAGAGGATCGGGGTTTCTGTTCTTCAGATGACTGATTTAGCTCTTTCCAGATGTTTGTCAAAGCTGGGAAGTCCTCACTCAAAATATAAAGTCTGTTTTGTATCCGCAGATGATGCGGAGATAGCGAGCCAGGCAGCAGCAGGGGTACGTGGTGGGGCGAGGAGGGGATTGCGGGGACCTGGTGCTTGTTCCTGCCAGCAGCGGTGGCGTTAGCCCCCTGGCCCTTCCCCTATCGTGGTGTAATCTCTGGGATCTGAAGACACTCGGAGCACTTGGAAGGCAGCCCGCTTTTCTTCCTGGAATTGTCTTTTCCTCTCCATGTGCTAAGAGCTGCCAGGGGAAGAAAGGGAATCGGATTCTCGGCCAGATGTGGATGATAAGCGGAGTGCGGATAGTTTAGGAAATTGAACTTTCCACTGCAGGAGCTTGGGGGAATCATTTGTTAACCACCCACAGCGTTCAGGCCTGGGCCTATTTCCTGCCTTGTGCCCGTGTGAACCGAGCAGTAGTTTAACGGGAAAACCTGAATTCTGAAGGAAAAGCAAGAAGTGAGTCCCTGGACAGCTGGAGTCACCTTGGTTCTCCAAGATTCACTTGGAGGTGATGGGTGATGCAGTGGGAAATCAAACCGTCAGATTACAAGGAAATGATAAGATGGGGAGTCTGTCTCCAAAGTGTTATGGAGAACAAATTAGCGAGGAGGAATTAAAGGGGAGAGTTGAGATGCCAGCTTTGAACTAAAAAGTTAGGTGCTGTGCAACCTGCCTGCCCCCCTGCTGGAGCGGTTCCCAAGCTTGCTTGTGCAGTCGTGCCTGGTTCTCACGGTCACTTTTAGCACACAGATGGCTGTTTTCCTGGGTGGTGTTATAAGTGCGATACCGTTTGCTCCATGGTTTGTCTGCTGGCCGAGGATAGCCGTGTTCAAGCAGCTTTTCCAGTGGCTGATGCTTGTCCTTTCTCCGCTGCCTCCTTTTGAAGGTGCCTCTTGTTTCTCCCCAGCACTTCTCCCATGATGAGTTCTGAATTAAACGTCCCGGTGGACCCTTCCACTCCCGCGTGCTGCTCTGAGCCCGGCACCAAAGGCATGGATTATCGGGACTGGGTGCGCCGCAGCTACCTGGAGCTGGTGACATCCAACCACCACTCCGTGCAGGCCCTGTCGTGGAGGAAGCTGTACCTGAGCCGAGCCAAGCTGAAAGCCTCCAGCAGGACCTCTGCGCTGCTCTCTGGATTTGCGATGGTAGGTTTGTTTTGTGGGCACGCTTTCGGGATGGGGGAAGTTCTGGTTCTGTAAAATCCCCCGTTAATCAGCAGTGCTTTCTCCCTGCCGAGAAGCAGGCCGTGCTGCTGCTCTCTGAGGAGCAGGAGGAGGCATCTGCCTGTGGGCTTCGGTTTGGCTGCTGCAAAGTTTGAGGCTGGCTCTCTCGAGGCAGCGTGCAGACATGAGCTGCCTAATGATCCACCCACGCACTCCCAAAGCAGACCTTTAAAAATCCTGGTCCCCATCCTGCTGACAGTCCTCAGCACTGCCCTGGTGCTGCTGGGCTCTCCGTTGGCCCCAAGGCTGGGCACTTTTGGCTGCCTTCACGTGAGGTTGCACCTGGTCTGCTCCTGGAGCTCCTCGGCCGTTGCGGTCCCGCGCCTTATCTTATTTTCTGTATGTGCTTTTTTCAGGTCACGGTGCCTAAAATAAGGTGGAGGTTGGGTCACAGCCTGCCAGGGAGGAATTTGCATAGCGTGAACGGAGAGATCGTGTTGTGAGAGGCCCCGCAGCCTCCGGCGCGGCGTCAGAGGGCTGGGCAGCCTGCAGGGAGCCAAACCCGGTGTATTTTTGTCAGCACTGTCTATCGGGAATAATCCCCAGTCCTTTCTTTGCTCTGTGCGGCACTCGGCTGTTATCTGGGAGCTATTTGCATAGGTCAAAACCGTGTCAGGGAGCGTGCAAACAACCCAGAGAGACGGTCTGGTGTTGGGAACCGAGCCGTGGGATTAGCAGAGCGCCGTCGGGCTGTGATGCCAGCAGCCTCTTTGCCTCCCCTCGGGTTCTTCCTTCGCAGCAGCGCGGGCTGCAGCCTGTTTCAGGAGGTTTTCTGCTGAGGAAACGGGCTCGCTGCTCAGGTCTGCGCGCTCAGCGCGCCCACGCGGAGGGCAGCGCGTGGGAAGATGCCGCAGCCCGCGGTGTGTGAGCTGCAGGGGGGCAGGCCGGCTTTGGGAGCCTTCCAGGTAGCTGGCTTGGTTTGTTTGTTTGCTTTAAGCTGCTCCCACGCCTGCTTTTCCACCCCCGGAGCATCGCCGTGGTGAGTTCCCTTTCGGATGACGAAGCCGCTCACCCAAAGGGAAGCTGGAGGAGCGTGAGCAGGGAGATGAGGGGGGGCAGCCTGCGGGGCAGGGGAGCTGGGTTGCTTTGGGGTCCCTCTCTCCTCACCGTGTGGATGTGATGCTCGTCAAAGCAGGGCAGGAGGAGCCTCCCCGTCCTGACACAGCTGGCTTCTCCCGTAGGTCTCTTTCCACCGAAGCTTTCTTACACTAAAAAGCATTTCGTGTGCTGGTCCCTCATGCCTCGAGGTTCCTGGAGTGGTGCAGGAGTTGTTCATGACCGTGCCCTTTAACGTGAGCACTGAATTGCTGTTTTGTAGCACGGTGAGCCCCGAAGCATCGCGTGTGAGCAGATGGCTCTGCCTGGATGCCAGTGTCACCAGGACCCTGCAGGGCTGGGCTGTGTCTGAAAACACAGAGCTGCTGCAAGGGCCCAGCAAACACACACAGTTACCCGTTTGACTTCTGGTTACGAGGCACTTAGCTACCTGCCAAGGTTATCTCGTTTACTTGGTGCTCCCGGGTCAGTTCTTAGAGGAGTCTCGTGCCGCGGTGGGCATGCCAGAGCTGGTGCCCGGGAGTGCTGTCTGCCGGGCACTTAGCAGCTTAAAAGCCAGTTATCAAGTAGGTGGAAGGATTGCGAATTAGAGACAGCCGCTTTAATGTAAGTAGATCCAAAACTGGTGTATTTCAGAAAATAAGGCATTTTCTGGAAGGGATTCTCTTCTATTAGCAAGCCTTTCCCTAGCTGACTGCATTGGGCCATCCAGTGAAAGGTGACGTATCCATCCCTGCCTCGTTATTCCTCCGCTGGTAATTTGCTAGGCATGTACTATGGGGATGTTTAGACTCTAATAAGAGCATCTCTTTGGCTCTGATGGCAGCAGCAGAGTTATTTAGAGTGGAATAGTTTCCTTGAAGCCCTGTGTGCACTTAGCTGTGTAAACAAATGTCACAGGGGCCTTGGCTATTGCTTTATTTACTTCCCTGTCAGCGTGTGCGATTCCAGCCGGTTCCATATTGGCTGGAAATGATCCCAAGCTGATGGGGATTTAATCAACAGGCGGTGGCTTTGATCCAGCTCCTTCTGGACAGGCGGCAGCATCGTGCGAGCCGTCCTCGTTAGGCGATGCTCGCTGCGGTGTTTCTGGCAGGCCAGGAGGATGGGGGAGCCTCCCAGCGCCAGGTCTGCCTGGAGGGGGCCGTGTGGCTGCCGGCATCGTCCCAGGGAGGCTGCGGGTGAAGGAGATTCAGAGGGAGCTTAGGAAATCTCCTTCATCGTTTTCCTGATGGAAATAAGAGCTGCCGCTGCTAGCCGGTCTTCTCAATGCTTGTCCGATTCCTCCAGGGTGTGTATTGGATTTAGAAAAGGAGGGGGAAAAAATCCAACAGATCGACCCGAGCGATTGTTGTTACAGGCTGCCAAACCATCTGTGTGAATGTACCGTGTGTTGTGTGAAGCCGTTTGTCATCCTCTCCCCTGGCATTATCTCTGCTGGACCAGATTTCTCAAGATGAGCATCTTCTTTGTGGCCAATCTGGGCCACGGGGATCTCGAAGGAAAAAACCCACACAATCGCCTGGAATTTAACCTCCGCCTAACTTAAAAACCTTCCTAACACATGGTTCTTCAGCAAACCTGCGAGCTTGGAGTCCAGCAGGGCCACCCCCGGGCTTTAATTTTAAGGCTGTGCTGAAACAGGCGGCTGCTCAGCGCGGTGCTCGGTGCCTCGCAAAGTCAAGCCCTGGGGAAGAGGTTAGCATAAAAGGGGCTGTAATTGTATCAAACACGACACATTAATAGTTTTACAGGCGAAGCAGCATACTTAATGATTTTTAAATGGGTTATGTCAGCTTGTCCTCCTTCTCCTATCCCGGTCAGGCGATGACGTGACAGCCCGAGTGGGGTAAGGTGACAAAGCTCGCTCCCCTTCCCCGTGCTCCTTTGGGTTAAATGATCTGTTTTTCTGCCTTGCTGCCCTCTGGATTGTTGATGTTTTCCTGCGAAATACCTCTTACTGAGCCATCCGTCAGTGTTAAAAATTCATCGCGTTGCACAGCTGAAGCTAGCCCTAGGGAATAGGTTAGTCTGGGAGGAAACATCCAATTAGCCGAAAAGTGCTGCTCACGCGGAGGGTAACAACCAGGAATTGATATGTCGACATCAGCCGGGCTTTCAGCTTTCATATAAAGCTATAAATTGAACATGCAGGTACGGTTCCCATTCAGCTCGCTGAATGCTGTGTCTCGGGGTATTACAGCACCCAATAATGCACAAAATACCTGCAGCTGTCCCTGGTGAGGCGGGTGACTGACGAGCACGGCGCTGTACCAGTGATTGTACAGAGCCGTGCAGCAGAAGGTAAGTCTGGTCCCAAGAAATACCCAGGGAACTGCAAAGGGAACACGTGCCAGGCACTGTGTGCGTTGTATTTGGACGGACCTCGCTTGCAGTAGATGGTGAAGCCAGTCCTGCGTTATTTTCCCCGCTATTTGACAAGATCTGCAGACAGGAGTCTTTAAAAAATTAAATTCCATGCCCACGTGCATCACCAGAACAAGTGGCTGGGGATATCCAAGAGCTGTCACTTTATTTTTGGTGTCTCTAATACCACCTACAGCTGGCGTAGGTGTAAAATCCAGATGTGTAGAAGCTGTTTTCTACCCCAGGCACGTGTTATCTCTTGGTGCTGACAGATGTGTTCAGGCTTGACCGTGATCCCCTCCTTCAGGCTGCTGATGGTCTCAGAATAAACCCAGGTAAGGCAGCAGTCGTGCCAGTGCTGCTTCCACCCTCTTAAATCCTTCTCAGGGCTACCAACGGGGACAGTGTGAGCGTACTTTAATTGTAGTGCCTAAATAACATTAATAACATCAAATTAACACTAATTAACAAGTAATGCCGCAGTGAATGGTGCGGATCACCGTACAGAGCCCGAAATGGCTGCTCATACAAAGCGTGGATGAAGCGGTGATGTCTGTTGTGCAGAATCCACCTCCACCCTGGAATCCAGCCGCTTGTGCCAACTTTCCCTCCCCGGAGCAGCTCTGAGAGGTGCTGGGCTGGGGCTGGTGTCCTCGATCAGCTTCTCCTGCCCCTAACACACACGGTGCAATGGAGCAGCAGGCTGCCTGGGCTCACCAGAGGTTTTGCAGGCTGCACCAAGTGATGCTGGAGAGTTACCAGAGGGCAGCGCTGGGTATTCCCATCCACTATCTCGTAGCTTCCCTTGGCAAAAGCTTCCTGCAGCCCTGCCGGGGCTGACACCACGCAGCAACACACGTGCTGGCTTGCTTTATAGACTGGTGAAGTATTTTAACAAATTCCTGTGCTAAAGCAGCTACGGACCCATGGCAGGACTGCAGCTCTGGTGCCAGAGGGGCGCCGCTCTCCTGCGTTTGTTGTTTGTTAAACAGCACTCGACTGAAGGTGCAGTTGAGGCTCTTTTGAAACAGCTTCAGAGACCTGTGTGCTGTGAGCCTTTCCTGAAACGAGAGCCCAGCTGCTAACACGCCTGTAGCTGTCCACCTCTGCTGAACGTATCAGTAAGTTATTAGACCCCAAGGGAGAAATTTGGGGATGTCAGTGACTGGTATCCAGGCATGCGCGTAATAAAAACGAACGCCGCGTTCTGAGAATAGAAGGCAGCTATTTTTACTGTGGAGTAACTTAAACTATAGAGTAGCTCACGTGCTTCCCCTGGGAGGTGGTGTCGCCTTGCTGGCGGCTGGCCAGGCGGGCTGCTTGCTTTTGGCTTTTTACACTGGTGAAGCTGAAGCTTCCTGCGCCGCAACCGCTAGCGGTGAGCGGAAGAAGAAAGTGTGGCAGGCGGGCGGGCTAGCAGGCTGTCAGCTGCCTCCGAGCCACGTTTCTCATCTAATGGCTTCCTTCTGTCGTGTGCTTGGGTTGAGGCAGCTCGTATGGCTCGTGGTGCAAGGAGAGAGCTGGTATTTTGGCAAAGTGCAGCATGGAAATGCGTGCGTGAGCCTTGCGGCGCGGCAAGCGCATCGTCACCGGGACCAGGCTGCTCCAAAAAGCTCTCGAGTGTGCACTTGACCTTACGTGGTCTTCTGAATAAAGATGCTTTCCTGGAGGAAGGCCTTGAAAAGAGGAAAACCAGCTGTTGACGAGCAGCTTTGTCTTCCTTTTCCCCCCAGGTTGCCATGGTGGAGGTGCAGCTGGAGATGCAGTACAAGTACCCCCAGATGCTGCTGATCGCCTTCAGTGCCTGCACCACGGTGCTGGTGGCCGTCCATCTCTTCGCTCTTCTCATCAGCACCTGCATCCTGCCCAACGTGGAGGCAGTGAGCAACATCCACAACCTCAACTCCATCAGCGAATCCCCCCACGAGCGCATGCATCCCTACATCGAGCTGGCGTGGGGCTTCTCCACGGTGCTGGGGATCCTCCTCTTCCTCGCAGAAGTGGTGCTTCTGTGCTGGATAAAATTCCTGCCCGTGGACTCCATCCAGAAAAACGAAACCGTCACCATCCAGAAGCCCAGCGGCCACGCGGGCTGGCAGGCGGCGCTGGTCTCCACCATCATCATGGTCCCCGTGGGGCTGATTTTTGTCGTCTTCACCATTCACTTCTACCGCTCCTTGGTGCGGCACAAAACGGAGCGCCACAACCGGGAGATCGAGGAGCTCCACAAACTCAAAGTGCAGTTAGACGGGCATGACAGAGGCATGCAGGTGGTGTGAGGGGCTGAGAGCAACGTGCCCGTTCTGCCAGTCGGTGAGACACACGGTGATGGATCGTCCCGAGGCTTAAATATGTAAATGCTAATTGCCTGCCGTATTTAGCTGTGGGTTCTAGTGCTGTTTCAGATGCTGGGGTCTCTGGTCCTACACACTTCTGTACTTAAGTAGACACTGTTGTGGAGTTCGAGATCAAGTCTTGATCTACGTTGGTACAAGTAGCCAAAAATCTGCTTTTTTTTTTTTTCATGTTTTTCATTTTTTTTCTTTTTTTACAAATGCAACATTCAGTTGTCAAAAGTAAAACTGCATCAGCTGTCCACAAAGGCTGTGTGTGTGTGTGGGACCTGTCTCACGTGTCAGAACTCCCCGGCTGTCAGTGCAGCAGCAATTAATTGGCAGTTTATTTCTAGAGCTGTGCTGGTTAATGAAGGTATCTGCTTCCAACCTGAGGACCTCCAGGAAAGCACAATAGAAATGTTCATCACCTCGGTTCTAAAGCAAGCGTTCCATGAGTACGTAACCAGGAAGGAACCAGCCTTAGCTTTTATGTTCTGTTCTTGCTGTTCCTTACTACGTTTTTATGTCTGGGGAGGTCGAAATTTGAATTGCAGGGGGCTGAGTTCTGTCGTAATTTCTCCAGCAGCATCTGTCACAATAGATTGAACGAATGCCGAGATCATGGGAGGGTTTTTTCCAATAAGAAGCAGGAGTGCCCAGGGAAGGCCTACAGGTGTTTGTTTTAACAAGGACATTCCTAAAACAGAACAGTGACGGGGAATTTAACGAGACAAAATTCTGAAGGACTAGAGAAGTTTCAAGGAGGTAAAGAGTGACAGCAGGCTGTGGAAATTGTCCCTGTGTTGTTTTCAGTTGTGTGCTGTTTCAATGTCTTTCTCCTGGCTTGATGCAGAGAACAAGCCCCAGTCCTGTGTTTTTCATCAGTGTTTGTCAGCTGTACGTTCACCTGTCCGAAAGGAATGCTTCCTCCTCCCTGCACCAAGGCAGGCAGCTCCTCCGGGGTAACCTGGAGCTGCACGGGCGAGTCTGGAGCTGGATCCTGGAGATCTGGGTGCCACTGAAGAGCTATCACCTTCCACTTGAGCTGACTCTTTTCCAGCAGCAGAAAAAAAGACACTTGCACGTTCGTTTTGCTTAGCAGGGGAAGCTTGTGAATACTCTAGCATCCTTTTGGGGGAAAACTTCTGTAAAAAAATAGTTTTATGATTTGTGGTAACCTTGTGGAGAGAAGTGCTTTGCAGTCATCAGCTCTCTTAAGGGCAAGGGAGGCTTTCCCAGGGCTGCAAGAAGCACATTTCCTTAGCCCTGCTCCTTTGCCGATTTCCTGCTCTGCACTCCAACGTTGCAGTTAGGCTCCCAGGCTCTATAGGTTCCCGAAATCGTTACGGATGTTTGTAATGTTCTATTTATCTCTGGTCCCTTATTCCACTGGGCTTTGAGAAATCTAATGGCAGCATATTACATGTCAGCTGCCTGGAGTGGAGAGCGCACGCAAATCCCAGTGAGGCTATCCCTGTGTTTCTCTCTGACGAGGGCCTTGGGAACCCAACTCCAATTTCTCTTGTTTACATGCAGGTTTGAGCATTGCTGAACGAGTTGCTTAGCGCTGTGTCTGTGCCTTTCATCTGTTGTTCTTGCCGCAGTTGGCGTGTACCATATTGGCTGATGTGCAGCAAAGGAAATCGTTGGTGTGTGAAACGCCCGGGCTGTGCTTATGCACATATGCAAAAAATGAGGAGTGTCCTCCAGGAAGTGGGTGGTCACGAAATTCATCCCATCTCCCCGGGAGCCTGCCCTCTCTTCCTCCTCTTCTTACCAAAATAAAAAATTAAACGTTTACGTAACGAAATCGGAGTTGAGTTTTCTGCCAAGCATTACACGCGTGGGCTCTTCTACCGACAGAATTCCTATTGTCAGCCCAGAGCTGGGCCAGACAGGATGAATTCCTTATCTGAGCTTTGTGCTTCCCTTTAACGGCAGGAAGAATAGGGCTCTGTGTGTGCTGCGGAGCCCACGGGGCTGGAAATTAGTTGTGGAGGAAAGTGTCGTGCCTTTTTTTTGTAGTAAAAAGGCTTGAAATTTCACAGCGTGTACGTGGTGCTGTGACAGCAGTGCGGCTCGTCTGGAAGCAGCCAAGTCCATGTCTTTGCAAATAAACTTCAGCAAATGGAGAAAGGCAGCAGAGACTGGGCTGGGTGTACAATTAGTGGAGGCTTTGGTGGGATTGGGTTCAAAGTAATCTCAAGGCAGCGAGCAGCGACTGGAGAGGGATCGCCTTACTCCAGCAGGGAGTCTGAGATGGTTTCCCGTGGGCGAATGCACTTTAATCAGCGTAACTGTGTGCTTGGCCAGCTCTGCTCCCTGCTTTGCTTTTTGTCTCTCCCTGGGCTCCGAGTTCTCCCCTTCCATGGGAGTATTTTTGCTCCTTGGTGCCTGGGATCTCTCCAGGTGCCCCATCGCTTCGTGCTGCAGCTCCTCTCATTCCTCCTTTCCACCAGCAGTGCTTGCTTCTCCTGCCTCTTCCTCTAATATTTGGACACGTTCACTGCTGCTGGGCCCAGACATGTGTTGCAGCAGGATCACCCGTGGTATCAGCAAACAACACAAATTTAATCCAGGAAGGAGTGGGGACACCGTACGTGTCCAGACTGGAGTTTCCATGCTTTGGTGCCGGAAAATCCTTGCTCCTGCTGCTGCCCCTGTGGCTGACAGCAGGATTCCCAGCAGCTGAGCACGGCGATGCCTTTCTTTTGGCAGCACCGTGTCCTGTCTTGTGTCTGGCCTCGGGCACTCTGTGCCTTTGTGTCGGTGTCACTCCTGGGGCATCATCGCTGCTGTGGGGTCTTGCAGCCTTGGAGCAGCTCCGTGCCCTGGGAGGGTGATTTTGTTCAGGGGGCAGGCGTGGGCTCCTCTCTCCTCGCAGCAGGGGTCAGGACCGGGCACGAGTGCAGGAGGGAGCCGGGGGTGCCCACTGGCTGGGGTTGGTGGCGTTTGTAGAGGTCTGGTGGTGTGGGTCCAGCAGGGGCTGTGCCCGGTGTTCCTGGTGCCAGGAGGGCGAGGGCAGCTCGCTGTGGGGTCAGTGGTGGCTGGGCTGTGGGCTCTGCCTGGGGGTCTGGGTGCCTGGCCAGCTGCAGGGCTGGCTGCTCACACCACGCGCTTTCCTCCTACCTTTCCAAGGCTTTACGTGGGATTTCACCCCGTCCCTTCTCTTCTTTTCCCTTCCATAACCAAACAAAAAGCCTTCAGGATTCCCTCCTGTCATAGCTTCATTATCTTCCAGCTCGTACATATAACCTCCCCCCGAGCTGCAACCTCAAATCTGCATCCCAGCACAAGGGGGGCAGCCTGCTTACCTTCTGACTGTCTGCTCACAGGGTGTTTGAAAGTGGTGAAGAGACCAGAAAATGTCCCCAGTAATAATTTACTGGCTGAATTTAGAAAAGTTCCCGTGAGCGCCCGTGCATGTGATTCAGAGCTTGCCTCGACCACGATGTTGACTCAGTGAAGTGCCAGGAAAGAGCAAACCTCTGCCTTTCTGATGGCCTGGCCTTGTTTTATCTCTGCATGAGCAATATTTAATACAGAACGACGCACGTATCTCGGTTACCGTTTGAGTGAAACTGGGTAAACGTGCTAAGTTTTATGCTACTTGTTGATTTCAGACTGATTTTTTATTCAAAAGGCAGCTGAAGTCCTCCAGCATCCTCTTTGGGTTAATCTGTGCTTTTCTTTTTATCAAAGCTCGCACAGATATTACCGATCTCCTTTTAAAACACGTAAGTAGATATAAAACTGATGCACTTTTTTTTAATGAGGGCCTGGTTCCTGGCATGCGTTTTACAAGTGCTAATCTTGGTTAAGAAGATAAACAGCTGCGATAGCAGTTCCTAGAACATGAAGACTGTTAGAGTTTGTCTTATGTTAACGACATGAGCACAGTGGACAAAACTATTTTTAACAGATGATTAATGACGATTACAACCTCTTCATACTCTTCTCAGACTTTTTGTGGTATTGGATAATCCAAATCAATCGTTAATGTTCTACAACGCTGTAGGTCTGGCTTTTTTAGGAGAGAATGTGCATAAAGTTTTAGTAATACAAAGTCAGTGAGATTGTAATTGCTTTATGATCTCTCTGAGATGATGCCCAAGAGACAATTTAACGGGTGAAAAATGTCAAAAGATAGACGTAGCAATGACTGAGGAGAGACTACATTAAGTGTTGGGCTTCAGAAACCATCTAGACAAAGCCCTCGGTTTTTGGCTCAGAAGATAATTATGTGCAGGTTTTAAACTTAAGATATCGAGTAGGCAGAGCTGGAATTTTCTAGCAAGAAAGGCAGCTTTCTGTACAGTTTGAACGAGGCAGAAAAACCCGGCTAACAAATGCAGAGCACAAAATGAACTAATGTTGTTTATCTTTTCATCGTGGCACACTGATTCATCAGAAGCTATCATCTGCTTTCAGTGCTGGCAGAATGAAACAGCAGGTATGTGTAGAGACAGTATTTTAACAGGCTGGGAGCACAATAGAAATGTGAAAGCGAGCGTTGGAAATAAGAGCCAAGCATTAATGGAAATAGTTGATTGCCACGTTTTGCCACACGAGCAGATTGATGCGGAGGCTCGGCACTGAAAGGCAGGAGGGTGATGGCAGGATGCGGTCTCAGAGCTCGTTCTTCCTCCAAAAGGCTGCTCTGGGTTTCCTTGTGGCTTTGTGCCGAGGTCCAGCAGGCTGCCAGCCGTGTCCTCCTGCTTGGCTGGACGTCCTCTGACCCGCTGGCAGCGATGCCCTGAGGCTGGGACACCGCAGCTCTGGCCAGGAGCACGCTGTGGAGCCCATGGGTGCAGGCAGCAAAGGACCAATTGCACCAGCCTGCCCTAAAAATGTTAGGAACTGTGATTTTGAGATGGATTTCTTCTGGTGGAGCTTGGCTGCCTGTTGCACGACTGTCTCCTTGCAGTGACAGCCTTCTGTCAGAGAGGGCATGCTGGAACTGCTGCTGGAGAGCCTCGGTGACGCCGTCAGCAGGTCCTGGACGCAGGTTTGTGGTTTCGGGCAGCCCACGGGAGTGGCGCTCACTGATCCCTCCTGCCATTATTCTGTAGCCCTGTCCACAGCTGTTTAAATACTGGGCTAAACTGAGCCTGGCTTATTGCAGCGGTGAAGCAGCATAGATGTAACTGTTCATAACATCCTGATTCACCAAACTGAATTCTAGTAAATTAGTTCTATTGGGCTGAAGAGCTGCCTTCTCTGCAGTGCCTGCAGCAGAGGGCAGAGTCTACAGTGTGAATGCACTACTGGTACATTAAGAACCTGTGTCTTGTGCCAAGGAAGTACTTCTAAGACAGGATATGTCTGTACAGGAACGCTGAAATCCCATGTAATAAACCTGTTCCTCTTTTTCTTACTGGACAAAACCAGACAGCATTGCCAAGTGTCATTTTGTTGCTGTAGGTGTGACTGTGCTGAATGGTTTTGATGACACAACAGCGTTTGTTAAAGGATCACGCTTCTTCCACAGCACAGCTTCATTTTCAAGAGCACAGAAGTTTGTTCTGAACAGACAGATGGCCCCAAATCAGCTTCTGCTACAAATGACTGCTTGAATCTTAGGTAGAAGGTATGATTCAAATCTGACTGCTGGAGGTGCCAAGAAAAAAAATGATAGCTGCTGGTGTTGCAGTCTGTTGCCCAGCTTATTCTCAAAATCTGACTCCTGCTACTGAGAGCTGACAGCAGGGTTCAGAGATGACAAACGATCAGAAAATAACACAGTCTGTGCAAGCCTCTGGTCTGAACTCTGTCCAAGCTGTCTCTGCAGAAGAGTCAGCATTGGCCCTCTGCAAATGCAGCACTCTGCTCCCAGAAGATATAGGTCACACACAGTATTTGTGATTTATCCTCACCGTTAGGGTATGAATCTTCAGCAAAGGGTAATTACTTTAATTAGTTCTCAGTGTGTTGTAGTGTCTGTGGAGAGATGCTTGCTTACCTGCCCCCTCGGAGAAGTGATCTCTAAAGGAACTATCTGGAGTGGGTGAGAAGATGCCTGTGCCATAGGGATACAGCTAACTAAATGCTGGGTGATGCGGTGCATGCATTTTGTCTCAGAGCTGCCATTGCTCAGGACAGCCTTCACAGAAATAAATGGCTCACCCCTTCCCTGCACCGCCTTGTTTGTGTTAAACTGCTATTTGATCGAGCTCATCTCGGTACAGACCTGGTTCCTTATGCACACCTCAGAAATAAATCAAGTTGTAAAAATACTGTACTTTATTTTTCAACCCAAATTTCCTAACATGACACAGTTCTAGCCCCCCCCTTGCTGATCACACTGGTGTTCCTTGAAACGAAAGCGCTATTTCTAGCAGTTCTTTACCCAGCTCCTCGTGCCTTCCTCCAGTGCTGAACTCTGCAGACAGCTCCCTGAACGTGACGCAGACCCGCCGGTGCTCTATATTCTTGCGGTAAATCGCGTGCTTCCACCTGTAACGTGCGTCACCGTGCAGCACCACCAGGGACCTTCTGGGTAAGTGAATGGCAACGGTCACCTCTTTGCTGGGAACAAGCCTTGGGGATAAAACGTAGTCGGTTCCCTGTTTGTTTGAACTTTTGCAGGCTGACGTCTCTGTAAGAGATCCAGGGGGACTTAATTCCCCGCTTTCTTTACCTGAAAGTGGGAAATAATTGGATGCTGTCCTCTGAATCACAAGACATGGAGAGCACGGTGTTTGAGAGCAAGTTTAAGCTAACCAGACGCTCTCCCCAAAGCCACCAGTCATCAAAATGTGGGTCGATGGCAGAACCTCTTTCTGGCCTGTAGTCCAGATTACATTGTTCAACAGGTAGGAAACCACCTAGTACAGAGCAAGCCTTCATTTGGGTCACAATCTTTTTGCTGAAACTTGGCAAACCTGTAAAGCTACCAGCTTTCAACCTCTGTTTCTTGAAGTTCACTTTGGGTCCGTAATCCTGTAGGAAAAGAAGAGGGGAAAAGCCAATGTTAAGGGAAGGGAACATCTGAGACAAGTCTTTTTGGAGAGGCTGTGATCCCTGTGAGACTGTGATCACAGTCAAGCTTTTGAGTTTTGTTCTCATCTGTGTTGGGTCTGTCTGGGATGGAGTCACCTTTCCCTGCAGCAGCCCACACAGTGCTGGAACAGCTCTGGTATCACCCCAGTGTTGTGTCTCTTGCTGCATAGTGCTGGCACAGCATCAGGACCCCTTCCAAGCCCCCATGAGCCAGCAGGCTGAGGGTGGGTGAGGAATGGGGAGGGGAACATCGCCAGGGCAGCTGACCTAAACCAACCAAAGGGATATTCCATAACACCTGATGGCACACTCAGCAATAAAAAGGGGGGCTCTTGTGGGGCAGGGGGCTGTTCCTCCTGAACAACCACAATGTGTTTTCAGGCCCTGCTTCCCAGGACGTGGCTGAACATCGCTCGTTGATGGGAAGTAGAGAATAATTTTTTTTCCTTCTCTCTGTGCTTCCACGTGGCCTTATTGTTTCTTTTGTTTCTTTTTCTCCCAGCTACCCACCTGAGTAAAACCAACACAGTCCTTTTTGGCGCCCAACGTGAGGCCTGAGGGTTGAGATAACAGTAGAATTGATTGAAGTATTTACAACTAACATACTGCTAGTCACAATGTTCGGTTTTCTATTAATATTTTTCTGTGTGACTATGTTGTATGTAGTCCATTCTCTGTTCTCTTTCTTCCTCTACATCCGATCAGAGAACATGCTGAAGTCTGTGTTTGGTTTCGTTATCATGCTGTGCTGTAACATGCCTGCCTTCAGTTTTGTCTGGTACTCAGGCCCGGCATTGTTATCATTCTTGTCTCCTGGAGATTATCTTTTTGGAAATATTAAGAATTACACCATCTTCTTTTTCTCCCCTAGCAGTCAATCTGTGAATAATATGGGGGGTGGTGCTGCCTTCTTCTCTCCCTGTGGGCTAATCGCAGCAGCCTTTGAGTATTTTGGATACCCTTGGTCGGATGTTATGCCTCCTATTACTACTTCTAGTATTTGTCTTCCTCCCTAAGGTCAAAAAATTTACTAAGAATATCATCCAAGGACCTGCACCGAGACAAAGTAGTTGTGGGTGGCAATGTGTGGGGGGGGATTTGGGCAGGTGCCTGTCACGGTTTTCTCTTCTGATGATTCTTAACTTCACCCCTGAACAAGTGCAAAATCAAAGAAAATTGGTAGAGTGTTTGAAAGACGTATGCCCTGATGCTGGCAATACCAGAGAACTCCACCAGCTTGCTGCACTCTGCTGGGGTCTGGCTTACACATATCACATGCGAATTAACACTGCCCAGCACCCTCAAGGGGATGGGTAAGTTCCTGAATTCGATGATGAGATCACACACTGTGACCACCCCAGAGGACCGACCATCAGTCGCCCCGATATTCAAGACAAAACAATGGAAATGAAAATCAGGTCATTTAGTAAGGGAAGAAGCTCCTCCTAAGGAGGAGGGGGAAGAGGAAAAGGCAGGCAGCTCTAAAGCAGTGTCATCACTGCAACATCAGGGAGAAGAGACCGAAATCATAAATGAATCAGAAACTACTCAATCCTTGAGTGAGTTGTGAGAAATATGAAAGGATTTCAGTCGTCATCCAGGTGAGCACATCCTCACCTGGCTGCTTTGATGCTGGGACACTGGGGCCAATAGCCAACAGCTAGACAGCAATGAAGCCAAGCAGCTGGGATCCCTCTCTGAAGAAAGGCTCGCTGATAGAGTAATTGGGAGAGAGGCACAGGTTCTCAGCCTCTGGAGGCAACTCCTGGCAGCTGTGAAAGAAAGGTATCCCCACAAGGAAGATATTGTATATCAAGTAGGCAAGTGGGCCACTAAGGATAAAGGTCTGCAGCACCTGTGGGTATTAGCTGTGCTGGAGATGATTTATGGTGATCTGAACAATGCCCAGACACCTAAAGACCCTGATGAAGTCCAGTGCACGGTATCCATGTGGTGGAAATTTGTATGGGCTGCACCCTCGTTGCATGCCAGCACACTGGCAGCAATGGACTGGGAGGAGGGGATGGGGCCAGCTGTGGATAACATGTCCAACCAGCTTCATAAATATGAAGAAAATCTCTCTGCCCCAGTACGGGCCTGCATTTCAGCCGTGGAGAGACTGTCCCAACGGTTAGAAGAACACATAGCTTCCTTCTCACCTAGATGGAAGAATCTTTCAGCCATCGAGTGCCAGCAGTCTCCAGCTCCAGCAAGGGAGAATCCGGGACGCACACTGCGGGGTACCTTGTGGTTTTATTTACGTGACCACAGGGAAAATATGAGGAAGTGGAAGTAGGACCTCGGCCCTAGCTGCAGGAAGATACAGCAGCAAGAAAAGGGATCTAGGAGGATTGCTGCCCCAGCTTCTCTTGGGCAGTCCCCCAGAGGCAGTAGAAGGGCTAGTATTACTCCTGACCCTGACAAAGAGGCCTCTGCTTCACATTTGGAAGAATTAATTGATAGGTGCTCCAACCAGGACCAGTGGGGCCATGCCTCTGGCCAGGTAGAGGAAAGAGAAAACCGGATTTACTGGACTGTGTGGATTTGATGGCCTGGCACACCGGAACCGCAGAAATATAAAGCTTTAGTGGACACAGGCGCACAGTGTACCCTAAAGTCGTCAGGCCACCAAGGGGCAGAACCCATCTGTATCTCTGGAGTGATGGGGGGATCCCAAGAGCAAACTGTATTGGAGGCTGAAGTGAGTCTAACTGGGAATGAGTGGCAAAAGCACCCCCATTGTGACTGGCCCAGAGGCTTCGTGCATCCTCAGCATAGACTACCTCAAGAAATGGATCCAAAAGGGTACCGGTGGGCTTTTGGCATAGCTGCCCTGAGCACAGAGAAGATTAAGCAGCTGTCTACCCTGCCTGGTCTCTCAGAAAACCCTTCTGCTGTAGGATTGCTGAGGATTGAAGTACAGCAAGTGCCAATTGCGACTACAACTGTGCACCGGCGGCAATATCGCACCAACCGAGACTCCCTGATCACCATCCATGAGTTAGTTCATCATCTGGAGAGCCAAGGAGTGATCAGCAAGACTTATTCACCTTTTAATAGACCCATATGGCCAGTGCGAAAGTCTAATGGTGAGTGGAGGCTAACAGTGGACTGTCAGGGCCTGAATGAAGTCACACCATCACTGAGTGCTGCAGTGCCAGACGTGCTGGAACTCCAGTAGGAACTAGAGTCAAAGGCAGCCAAGTGGTACGCTACCATCGATATTGCTAATGCATTTTTCTCCATCCCTCTGGCAGCAGCATGCAGGCCACAGTCTGCTTTCACTTGGAGGGGCATTCAGTCCACCTGGAATCGACTGCCCCAGGGACAGCCCTACTGTTCGCCACGGACTGATCCAGACAACACCGGAACGCTCCTGAACACCTGTAGTACATCAATTATATTAATGTATGGGGTAACCACCACATCATCTAACCTGGTGACCTGGTCACCAGTTTGCGAAGTGACTCCGTGAAGCTATATTAATCTATGGAATTAGATTTCTCACCTCTACAGCAAAAACAAACAAACAAACAAAAAAAACCTTCCTTAAAGATTGCAAAACTATGCCTGAACATGCAACATGGAGTACCAATTGTAACTATCCTATACTTCTGCAAGAAGCTGATTTTAATCACAAGTAATTCTTGCAACTGATTTCAGAAGAAGCTTCTGAAAAAGAGCTTTTAATGCTCTTACACGTAAATGATTTGGGTTTTGAATTAAAACAACTTAATTCTTAGATCCCTCTGGAAAAGGAAACATGCTTCTAAAGTCAAACCTGTTTCTTTCGGCCAGACTGTGATGGTTTCCATTCATCGCGGTCCATCAGTGCAACCATCTCTGCTTCTTCTTCTTCACTAACGAACTCCTCTGTCAAGAACACCCCTGGAAATGGAAATGCCCAGCCAGCAAATTCCGAGTGCTCATTTCCTTTCGCTAAACCTGTTGCTGGACAGTAAGTGAAATTATCTTCTCCCTGTGGAAATAACAATGGAGATGAAAAAAGGAGTGGAGAGGGAAACTTATCAAGACGAGGTATTCACCCTATTTACCCTGGAACCGTGCTGCTGTGCGTGGGACCTGCCTGCACAAGGCACGAGGGATTTCACAGCTGCTTTTTGGGAACAACTCCTCCCGGGGCTGGGTGTGCTAACAGCTCCAGCGTTACAAGCAGCTTCGAGCAGGGTTTTCTTTCCTGGTACTGTCTTTATCCCACAAAGACAGGGTAGCACGGATGATCCCCAGTGCCAGGCGTACAGGGAGATCGCAGCCCCCTCTGACCCCTGCCTGAGGAAAGCTGCCCGGAGCCCGAGCAACCCCCGGCCCTGCCTTTTCTTCTTTATTTCCTTTTCTTCTTTATTTTCTTCTCGGCCACGGCTCCACCGGGGCCTGTCCCGGGAGGGGGTGCCGAGGCCGGGCCTTGCAGGGGGCGGCCCAGGGGGGATCAGAGCAGACCCCCCCGGCCCTATTACCCCCTCACCGCCCCTATTACCCCCCCCTACCCCCCCAATTACCCCCTCCCCGGTCCCCCCCCGCTCCGCCCCGCCGCCGGCCCCGCCCCGCCGCCCCCTCCCCGGTACCTGCGGGGGCGGAGCGGCCTGAGCGGGCCCCTCGCAGAGCAGGCAGGAGCGGATCCCCTTGCAGCCGCAGCCCGGCCCCTCACCGCCACCACCACCGCCCGCTGCTTCCTCCTCCTCCTCCTCCTCCTCCTCCATCCCCGCCACCATCATCGCCGCCTCCGCCCGCGCCTCAGGATACGGCGTCCTCGCCGCCCTCCTGCTCTCCTCCTCCTCCTCCTCCTCCGCCCGGCTGCAGGTGAAGGGGGGCGGCGGGGAGCCGGGGCCGGGGCTGAGGCGGCGGCGGTGGGGAGCGGGGGCTCGGTGCAGGCCGCGTTGCCGGCCCGGGGAGCTGCTGGAGAGCGTGGTGGTGGTGATGGGGGGGGGGTTGGGGAGCGGACTCGGTTTCCCAGCAGGCCTCGCGGCACCGTGCAGCGCTCCAAAGCCGGGAGGCGCCGCGGGGGATGCTGGGAGTTGTAGTCCCGCTGCCCATCGCACGCCCCGCCGGGGCGCCTCAGGCCGAGGCCGGTGCCGGTGCTGGCCCTCACGGTGAGCGAGCTCGGGGCCAGCGGGGCGGCGAGGGGACACCGCGAGGCGCCCTCCTCCTCCCTGCATCGCCCCGGCTTCCCCCGAGCTCCCAGCCGGCGGCCCGGCCCCGGGCGGTGCCCGTTGGGGTCACCTCAGGCCGCCTGTGGATGGAGCCCCGGGGACAGGGGCACCCTGCGGGCACCCCCCCGGTGTCCCCAGTGCCTGTCCCCGGGGGTGGCCGCCGGCGGTGCCCCCCCAGCAGCCGGCATCGTGGCCCCGGAGCGCGACATGGCGCTGGCGAGGCCGCAGCACGGCGGTGGTGGCGATGCCAGGGTGCAGAGCGAGGGTCCCTCGTCCCCCCGGCACCCACCCGGCTGCAGAGCCAAAGCTGAGCTCGTTTTGTTCCCCACATCGTTTCTCTGGCCCAAATTGGTGCTGCCACAGGGCTGTGGGCTCGGCGAGGTGCGGCCGTGGGGACGAAGGGCCTGGCAGTGTGTCACCGTGTGCCCTGTGGCTCCCCCGTGGTGACACGGGCAGCGGATCTGGGCACGATGCATAGCCGAGCACAGGGTGACCAGGACACCCACAGTGGTTGGTGTCGAGGTTTTCTTACAGGTATTCGAGCTTAGTGGGGTTTCTTGGGTCAGCAGGGACAGGTTTGGCTTTCACTGACAGCTCTGTTGCTTGAAGGATCGAGCCCTTGAGCAGCTGCCGTTCAAACGCTTTTTTCAGGCTCAGTTTTCTCTTTTCCCCATATAAAACCATGTAATATTCCATATATAAAGGATTGTCCTTACTTACAGGTATTAACAGAGCATCGCCCATGATGGTCCAGGCATTGTAGGCACATTACAGTAGTAACATCAAGCCTCAGGACTGCTTACGTGTCCCTCCCGATTTCCCAGATTGGCATTTAGGCAGCATTGAGGCTAACACAAAACGACAGCAGAGAGCCTGCCTTGGAGCTCTTTTCTCTTTATTTCCCTCTCTTGAAATCTGTGTCAGAAAGAGTGGTAAACCATCAACCAGTAATTTTATGAAGTTGCTTTGGCCTTGTCACTCTTACTGTTCCCAATATCTCTATCTGTGTGTGTGCACACGTAGGATAGAATATATCTGCAACGATGCATCAAAACGTCTGGTTATAACCAACAAGGTACAGAATGCTGCTGTTTCTATTTCCTTAGTGAAGAAACAAGGTTACTGGGCGGTGGGTATTTACATTTCTGGTAACGAATCCAGTTTACCAAAGTTGTAGAGGATCCAGAGGTTGTCAGCCAAGAGTCGGTCCACCTGGTCAGGCCAGCGAGTGCTCTGTGTCAAGGCCTTCAGAGGAAGAAACCCAGGACAGGTGTATTTATTCTGACTGTTGCTGTTTGTTTGAAAGCATGTGGGAGTTCTTGGACCAGAGCCTGGTTGCACAGGAGAGGTACACGCTGGGTGAGTGTCCCTAATCCTGAGTGCCATCACGCTGCAGGCAGTTTTCATTTACATTCAAGCCTTTCACTTTAATAGCCAAGGGAGGTAGCACCAATGTTTTGGAGATGGGTGGGTCAGCTTGGTGGGAGTACGTGCCCAGGTTTATAACTCTTCCTGGTATTTCCCTGTCAACATGTGAAAAAAGGCTACTTCAGAAGCAGCAGCTAACCTCATAACGTTTTTTTCTCCCTTTTGGAGTCAGTTGCAAAGGACTTGGCCTCATCCCTGTTTTTTTTTTTTTATCAGGAAGGCTACAAGGAGAGATCCTACAGCTGTGTAGTGATTGCAGCTGAGGGGTGAAGATAAACATGTCAAAAATTACTACAGAACTTCTTTTGGAAAGAGCGGTTCCAAGATCTACAAGACTACGAAAGATCGAGACACTAAAGTAAGTGCAGACAGGAAAATTCCAGATGAATTCAGCATGGGCGATCCTTTTTCAAGCGTTTTTGCTGAAATAGGAGAGGCCAATTCAAAGTACAGACTTAGAGATGGCATTCTCATGTGTAGGATCAGTGAGCGCTGGTGGAATTGCAGCAATTACCACCTCTCTTCACCATACAGATTTTATCTATGCCACATTCTTTCTGTAAAACTGCTCAGGGCTGGATTCTGATTTCCTAATCCTAAGAAGTGCTCCCTCCCTGTCCCCAAAACACTTCTGTCCTTGGTAGCAATTGCTCATTGTAAATAAGAGAATCACTTCTGGTGTGGATCTAGAAGATTTTCTTAACATTTTGGCATTATTTTCCTTTCCTCCGTCACTTTTTATCTGTTCTACATCTGATTGTATCAGTACCTCAAACATGGCAGAAAGGGAGAGTAAACTCTGATACACTTAGCAACCTCTAAAACAGTTTTGTTGCTCAGATCATTAATAGAGTTCATTGAACATAATAAATGTATTTCCAAATGTTTAATACGGTGGAATTTCGCTATTTGCAAACTGGTCATTCCGAGTGACTCCGCTAGCCAATATCTGGCTGGCACCTGCATTGTTTTTGTGGCTGATGTAGGAGTTTTGGGTTTTGTATGTAGCCTTCACAGTTACTTCTTTGGTTTTGTCTTGTCATGAATTATTTGTTTTCAGAGAGGAACTCAACAGGATATCCAAAGACTGTAGGTCCCAGTAATCTGGGTAACAAAGTGATGGTCAGGTGTTTGAAGCGCTGAACTTCTACAGGTAGCTTTTTCCATACAGCTTTGTACCATGATTTTGAAGGGTAATATTTCAGAAAGTCCACTTGCGGAACTCTGTGCTGAGTTTCTCCCAGACTGTTGAAATCCCAAGTGATGTTCTGCTTGAAATCACAGTGACACAGTACTCACACTCAGCTTTGCAGCCAGCTGGATTCTGTTCAGCCTTTCTCATGTACTTTGACTGGCTAGTTAGGCTTCTGAGATGGCAAGTGAATGAGATGTGATCTTGCTTTCTGAATTTATTTACCTGTTTTATTAATGTTTTGTATATATGTAGAAGCCCCCCCCCCCCCCCATTTTTTTTTTAAGTAATCATTATAGATGGGTATTCTGTTTGTTAAGGAACCCAGGCTTGCATTCTCAAGAGACCGTGGCAGTCAGTGCTGGAAGTTCCCTTTGGAGTTCAGCTCAATGGTCTAATCAGATCTAAACGATCCTCCTTATAATACGCAGTTTTCTGCTTCTCACAGAGAAGGGATATTTTTCCCCCTTCACAAATACTGTATCACTTCCATATCCAAGCATAAAATGCTTTAATTTTGGTTGCAGCATTGTGATTTCTTAGGTAGATTTGCATACTTGCCAGTGGAATTATTTGGAGCAGAACTTGCTGCAAAAGAAATGGAAAAATCACTTTTTTGATTAACTTTTTGGGAGCCATGCAGTTTTGTAGTGCTTACACCGGTTGTGACACTGCGATTTCTGTAAGGGAGGGACATCATGAATCTAGAGCATTTTATGGAGAATGTAGACTGATGGCCTAGTGAAAAAGTACCTTGTATTGTCACAGCTTGTTTTGCTGAATTTACATTGCAAAGGAATAAAATACCAAAATCATTAGAGCCTTAGTAATTTTTCTATGAACAAGAACATTTTTGGTAATTCACTGGTGATAATCAGCTCTGTTACCCATAGGAAATCTATTGGAATTGCAGGTTGATTGTACCACAAATACTTCAGCAGACTCTGATCGTGTCTGTTAGCTCAGACACAGCATCTTTTCCATATAGGCATGCCTGCAGGCCAGAGTGCTTCAGTCAAGAAAAAGCAGATTTGGTCAGATTTACCCTGTGAGCTGTGCTAGGCTGAGGGGTGCCGCAAGGTACAGCCTTGTTTTTCCAGTGAAATGCAGGTAGTTCACGTTCTCTTTTTCTTTCAGCCTGTCCAAGCTGCAGTTGAAGACTGGAGACTTAGACCCGCGTTTGTTTTCCCGTCTGAGGCATCTGCAGAAACTAGATCTCTCCGATAATTTATTGGACAAATTTCCCAACAGTCTAACCCTGCCTGATCTGCGTGTCCTAAACTGCAACAACAACCAGCTGGAAGATGTAACTGCTCTGAAACAGTTCCCTCTGCTTGAGGAGCTCACTTATGAGAACAATGTGTACTTGACAGTGAGTTACTTCCCATTTGTACAAGCTATTAAATAGAGGGGACAAGAAATGGCAATTATGCCTAGTTCTTTTATATTATTCTTAGGCAGCAAGTGAGGACATCTTAGAAAGTAATTAGTTCTTCTGCAGACTGGGAAATCATGGCATAAAATGATTAAGGGGAGCAGAAGTGATTTGTCCAAAACTATGCAGAGGTTAAAAATCTTGAATCTCCTCATTCTCCAGGCCAGAGTCCCACCTTGGTTTGCTTGTCAGACAGGATAGGATGTCTTTTGTTCATGCTCGTGTAGAGCTTCAGTGGTGTAAAATGGAATAATGACTGTGTAGAAATGTACTCCTCCTTATATGTTAGTTTTAGTGCACCTGGTGGTGCTGCTCATCCAGCAGATCTGGTCCTGTGATGAAGAGTTAAACTTGGTGATTATTGTAATTTAGGTTCCTGATTTGTCCCGAGAGGCTTTACAGACTGTACAAGGAGCTGAGGCTCTCAGTTTAGGCATCTGAAGCTGCAGTTTTCCATGTGCTTTAAACCAGCATCAGCCACCTCTGGTGTCCCCAGGTGCTTGTTTGCTGTTGCACACTGGCAGAAGTATACGTGCAGCTGTAT